AAAATACTGTTCCTAAAGGTAAAATTTGACAATGTAAATGAGAACCTCAGACGACAAAAGAATTCCCCTTAAAATATGTTTTAAATGTAGTAGTAGTATCCGACGGCAAGCAATCAAGAAAAAACTAAACTGGAACAACTCTCTCGACACGAAATGTTTAGTGTATCATACAAACGTACGAACTGAACACAAGCAATCAAGACAAGACTAGACAAGAACGACTCGCTCGACAAGAAAATTGTAGTTTATTGTTAGTTTATTTACAAACATTCAAATACCTCTGACCGCAAGCAATCAAGGAAAGACTAGACAAGAACAAACCCGCGTGTCACGAAAAGTTTAGTGTATTATACAAACGAGACCGCTACACAACGGCCTTCGAGATTATTCAAGAGGGGGGCTAAAGCCTGTTTAGCCCCCCTCTAAATCCGCCCCTGTTATGGCAATATTGATCACGTTTTTACTAGGCCTAATATGTGTTTAAGATTGTAACAAAATAATCCAGTAAAGTTAGTCGAGGAATGCAAAAATTATTACTACACCAACATCCACATACTCCTATTTCTCTCTAGCACGCGTCGTCATTGATTCTATAATTCACTTTTTTTACTTTTTAAAATTTCGTCGGCATACAACAGCATGTAGGCCTAGATCGTTTGGGATTAGGAGTGGAGTTGTTTGTAATCGTGAGAAAAAGTTCTTCTGTGCCAGGAATTTAACACAGGACCCCATCTTAAGTCAAGTAGGGCCTAAAATTAATGCTTCACCCAATAATAATTATTTGAATTTAATAATTTTTATCAATAATATCAATTATGTAATTTTTTTGACGCAATGATATAAGCAAGGTAATTCAACAGAATTGCCTTGATATAAAATACCTGAACAAAATTAATGCTAAGCACATAAGCTGCATATAAACACTCTTACGTGCTTTTTAAACGTGTCACCACAAGCGGGTCAAAGTTGCATGGAGATTCATTTTAACAGTGTTGTTGTATTTAAAGTGTAATGGTCATTCACGGAGGTATAAATTTTGAATTCATTTCATTTATGAGCATTTCTTGGCGACACATGCTTGCGATACCAAGACGTGGCTAGTCTAAAAAGAACTTTTGTGAATGTATACGTTCAATTGCGCTGCTTCAATTGTCATCAGGAGAAAAATATTAGCCTCCTGATGATCTGACAAAGCAATGTCTTGTCCTTCCCCAAATTTCCCCCCCCCCCCAAAAAAAACAAACAAGCAAGCGAACTACGTACACATCATCCCTAAATAATTCACAGTTCTATAGTTCTATTTAGAGAGGGGAAAAATGACGTGCTGTAATGGTCCACTACTGTAATTAATTATAAACGTTTGATGGAAAGGTGGAATACTGTAATATGAATGATGGTTTTTGAAACGGCAAAATTGTGTGTTTTGGCTTATTACAAAAACTTGAAACAGTGTTAGGCAAAATAACTCAGATTTGACACCCTGCAGGGCGGATCAAAAGAAAAAATGGGAAGGTCCATGCAACGTGCATAGCCCTGAAGAAAGGGGGGGGGGGGCGTTGGAGGCTTTTGTTTAGCAATGCTTGATCATAGATGCTGGTGCTGGTAATTTAAACCGAAATTTAGCAAGTTTTGGAGTAAGCCATCATGCTACCCTGTTTGTCTTTTTGGAAGGGGGAGGGGGTGCCTAGCCCTCACTGACTCCTTGGCTTTGCCCTTATGTATTCATAGCTCCGCTCCCAAATTCCTCACCAGCCCCAGTCAAAACTCAAACTGTATCTTCACCTTTGGGTCTCTAGCAATTTCGCTTTCAACAACAAAAATCATTAACTAACATGAATACGAAATACTCAATGTCAAGTTTTGAAAGATTTATGACGTTTAAGAATGTCAATGACATTGTACTGAAAAAATATGTTATTTTTTACACATTTCGTGATATCCCAATATATTTAAACATTGTTTGAGATTATTGTTTACAAATGCTTGATAGGTGTCTTGTTAAACAAAAATGCATAAAACATCCGACGGCGATTACTGTACAGAAAATGTCTGAGCAGCAGGAATTATACTACATCAAAGTTTAATGTACACACAATTTACTACACTACATGCTTATAATAATGATGAACAATACCTCTATACCTAGTTTAATACAGTTGTTATTACTACATACAACTTAGGTAAAACATTTGTGAAAAAACCAAGGGAGCATACAAGCTATTAGAGGGTGCTAATGCCAGGGCTAATGCAAATGTGGAGAATACATTTCACTCAAAATATAATTAGGCTGTACTGTATCAACTTTTTTTTAAATGGTCTCACAATAAGCCCTACTTTAACTAAGGTGCAATGTGAAGAGATTATGGTCAACATTCAAATTAGTTTCACATTTATCTATATAGGGAGGTTTCGCAAGCTTATGAAAACGACAACGAATAAGGTTACTACGTCATCATTTTTTTAGTCAATTCATCCCACACAGTAGCATATTTGTCACAACGTAGGGAATCTATGACTTTTAAATCAATCAATCAATCTCGTATATATATATATGTACTGTTAAAAATGTTTTAAGCACGAATGACAATAATGAACATGATGAATTCATTATCGTTATTATAAGGTTGCAAAATCTCCTTAATACTAATGGATTACATGTTGATCACACAAAAATCGTTTGTTTAAAACATTAAATTATAAGACTCGCAAAGAATTTGCCAATATTAACATATCCTAACCACCACACACTGGTACTGGTCTGGGCATTTATATTGCGCCTTTTCCTTGCGGTTATAAAGTGCAGTTCTTTTCCCTGGTCATTGGGTCCACATGCTAAGTGTTGCTGCTGGTAGTCAGCGCAGGAGCAGGCAACCCCACAAAGTACCCATTTATACTCCTGGGTGGAGAGAAGCAATGCAGATGAAGTGTCTTGCTCAAGGACACCAGCGAAATGCACAGCGAGGGATTGAAACCCCGACCGTTCCTGCTGCGCAAAACCGCTTCCACACGCCAACATCGCTTGATAGAACAAAATCAACCAATGCTGCGAGTTACATAAACTCCATGATAAAAAATAATACAAGTAAATTTTCATAATTAACAAAACTGTTATGTATAATCAAGTGACTCATTACATAAATAATCCAGAACAATGTCAACAAGAAATAAGAGAAATATACACAGGAAATAAACATAATTATTACAACTACATACTGTAGCTTGTAAACCACCTGGGTCGTGTTGATTTTCTATGCTTCAGTACATTTTTTTTGTTTAATGTGTCCTCAAATTCTAATGTTGTGAGTCAAATGGCAAACAGTCATTAAATTATAGATAACAGCTGTTTGAAAAATTAATGTCCGTCAATTGGCGAAGATATTTTATCATATTTTATAGTCGATAGCTAATAATTTTTATCAAAATGTACAAATTCAGCATCAGCAATCCATAAAAAAAAATTTCAGGTTTATATTAGATTTAGGCAACAGAATATCTATTGCCTATTATAAAATACCTTAGGGACTAACCACTATTTTTATCATCCTCCCTAGGCTGTGTGGGAGGGGTCTTTAGGTCTTTTTGAAAGTGACCCTTTTAATTGTATTGTGTACAATTTTAGGGGGTTAAAGGAAACAGACCCACAGGAAAACATCGAAAAGAAAGTTGGTAGAGAAACCTAACAGAAATCGGAGGGTCTTGGAATGGAATCGGAATGGAGATACAACAATTACAAAATGTGTTCAACCATTTCGTAGCCAAATACGTTATTTAAAAACACACACACACACACAATACTGTATAATAACATACTAGAGAGTAAAGACGACTTAATCTTTCTTAGCTATTTGAGTTTGGTACTTCATGTAGCAGTTTGCCTTAATAATAAATTTCATATTATTATTAACACAGAATTAAACTTTATATAATACATTTTTTTTGTTTAAATTTGTACACTATTTTTTACAGCTTGAATGAAAAACAAAAAATGTAAGTTGTAACTTCAACCCCATGCATATCATTAACAAATGTCATGCATATCATTAACAATTATTACAACTACTTTTGAAATGGGAAGAATAATGCCATAATATTATGAACGCTGAATTCTTTTTATTGAAACAATTAGGTATGCCTTCAATTTTGAACCCAAATACTATATACAGCATTTTCATGTTGTGATCTTTTATATCGCTAATCCAAATATGCTAACAATACAGTACATTGTTTTATTCTCCCATCTTACAGTACAGCTTCCGTCTGTTGTGTTATCCCAGAAACAAGAACTTGCTGTGTGAAGGCCAGCACCATTTTTTTGCATAATAACAGCTGAAACTGGAACATAAAAATCATATGATGATATATGATGATAATAAATGCAAAAGCACATTTTGAAATAAGAAAATATTGCATGATACATTCAAATTGACCATTAATTTGATATTTATTTTTCTTTGCTCAAGATTCAATTTTGGATTTACTGTAGTAAAATGACTACAATATGAAAGGGAAGAAGGAAACATGGCTTTTCTGGCTTCTAAATCACGTTGAGGGCCACTGCCTCAGTCATTGTATCTTGTTTCTTTATTTGAGTAAGCCCTAAAAATTAGGCATTTTTGGTTTGTTTCAGTCTTTCCCCCATTAGTTTGGTTTGATTCCTATTTAAGATTTCAAGTTTACCAATAATTTTTTGAAGTGTATAGAGTTCCTTACATTATGTTAGGCACAAAATAAATCTACCTACAGTATTTTATGAACCATGAAGGAAATAGCAGTAAACGATGAATATGGTATCTTTTATAAATGGTAATAAGATAATATAATAAATATTATAACTATGAAAATAGTATAATTGTAATGTTTTTGTTGTAATTGCTTTGTAATATGTGCTTTATGCAGTCAGACAGTTTAAATATGTAGCATTCAATGTAAGTTAAGTAGTAGTAACGAAAGCATATGAAAGATCAACTTACCTATATATTTGAAAGGCTTTCCTAACTTTGTTAATTGGTTGAGGCACTGTTCTACAACATTAGATGTCCACTGATTAATCTTGTTATGTTGGTAGGCATTACCACCAATTGTGCCCTCTATGGCTTCCTTGATGATGTTACTTACTTCATCTACAACAAAAGCTGTCTGTTGAACAAAATTAGGAATTATTAATAATTACTGTATATAATAAGGTGCAATTTCAAATATGATTGAATAATACTATTATAACAATTGCCTTCATCCCCGCGGGCTTCATCAGGAATTTTTTTTTTAAATAATGGTTCCTTCTAGCTTCTAGTTCCTATAGTGAACTTGAAACCTAATAATTGCTTAATAAATAAAATAGAACATTACATTACTGTCTTGAAACTGTTTATTTTTGGAAATGTGGAAGTTTTTTCTCTCTTACTACAGGGTCATCATACTGCACACTTTTTTTATTGCATCAAAACAAAAATAAAATATATTTAAAATGAATAAAACTGTGTTCAACATACAAAAATAAGGCATATTACAAAACATACTAGCCTACTCAGTAACACTAAGTTGTAACACTTTTTTACCAAAAAGGGATTTTTTATTTCAGAATATTATCTACTTAAGTTTAGAGAGAGGCCAGGCTAGGTAGATGATCACACCCTATCAATAGGTTAGGTGTTGACTCGCGTACGAGCGGCCTAGGCCCAGATTCACTGTATAGCACAGGCCTAAATAGGGTCTACCTAGGCCTAGCTAGGGTAGACCAGCCCTCACCGACCTTACTTGGATACCACACCGCACACACAACACAGCCGACAACTCACTCGGCCTAGCTTTATTTTGAATTTTAGAATGAAATAACTACAGACAACTAAATTCAAAATTAGCCTACCTCCTCTGGGGACTGAAAATCATCCATTTCAAAATTTCAATGCAACTTTTAGTTAAATATTAATAAAAATATGAACTGTTGTCGGTCACTTCTCTCGATGGGCGATATGTTTTTCCAACTATCTCTCAATCGTTTCTACCCACAAAAAAGTATTGTGGGTAATGTCAGACGCATCATCGACCATCATTGGTTGGCGTTCTTACTTGCGCCCTGAATCGGTGTTAATAATATAAGCAACACAGTGGTTCTTTCTTTCATTATACTTATAATTTAGTTTTTAGTTATGAACGGATGAACAAAAGGCTTTACATATTTTGTTTGCTTACTTTTTACTATGTTCATTTAGTTATTATACCACCTCCTTGGTTACCTGACCATTTTGAGCCTGTATGTTGAATGATGTGAATAAACAACATCGAAATAATTATCAGAAGGCTAATTTCTATATTAGTTATTTAATAAAGTTTGTAATAATAATTTAATAGTCTGATCATTTTTGATTGATAATATTGTCCTGATGGCCATGGTATGCCTTATATTATACTATAATCTCAGCTGGGCAGCGGTGTCATTCCTAGAGATTGGGAGATTAAAATAGCGACTTAGTATTAATAAATAGATTTTGGAGTGTGCACGGTTTTTCAAAGCTTTATAATGTCTTTATAAAGCCTAGCCTATGTTAATCTCTTATGTAAAGTCTCGATTTCAGAGCTGTTTTTTCTTTTATTTATTGCTTGAGGTATGTGTCGTCTCTAAAGACTTCCAACAAGTTTTTCTAATAACACAAATATACCACATGCGTGATGAAACCACCAAAATTTTTAGTTTAATTCTGGAAATACCGTAAAACCTCGATTTGAAGCCCACTGGGCTTAATCTCGAGATGAAGCCCATCTCGAATTGAAGCCCTCTTTTTAGTTTGGTAAATTAGCATGGCTTCTTTTCAAGATATCCAGTCACATACACTGTACATGAATTTCAGAAAACAAATATTATTATTATTATATACAAGCTTGGTTTTTTTTTAAATTTTTTTTTTTTAACAATAGTTTAGGTGATTTAATGCCAGTTAAATACACTCCATGATACTAGTGATTGATGTTACATTGGCCTTATTTATTGTTTTACAGTACAAATTCACAAAATTTCACAGCATTCACAGAAAAGAAGCACCCCCCCCCCCCTCTTTACTTACAATAAGACTCAAAAACTGACTGATCAATGCCCGCATGTATCATATAGGCTAAAAATAAGTAATGATAATATTAAACGGTTAAAATAAACATTCCTGAATTAAAATTAAAGTGGGATCTACCACAATTGCCACTACTGTAAAATCTATTGAAATTTGCTACAAAGAAATAAATCATGCTAACAAGCAAAACCATTTAAAAATAAATGATAAAACATTCACTTTAACTATTAAAATAAAATTTAGGAAAATAATGAATAATGCTAGCCAATTGAAATGTCTGAATTAAATGTTTCTTCTGTCTATAACCATCAAAATTTATACAGCCAGCCCAGAGAGAACGATCTCTTCATCAGCATTCACTTTAAGCCTCGTATACATCATTAAAATTATGTTTATCAAACTCAACGGTGTTTGATCAAAGAAATCATGAATTGCTAGGATTGGATATTTTCGGTGAAATACATTTGATAAACAACAAAATTCTGAGGAAATTTAGAGTGCCGGTCGTTCTGGTGCTTCTGAAATGGGAGTGCTACGGGAAACAATGCCCTGCTGTTTCCAGGAGCAGATTGTGTTCTTTAACACATGTATGATTCATACAGCATAGAGAATTGCATAAACATTTATTGCAAAAGATGGTACGATAAAGCTGTAAACTTGTCTTTTAGCTGAGCTGCTGAAACACGTTGTGAGCAGCGATGGCTTGAACCGGGGATTAAAGGTATGGAAGGATCTACGACTAGCTCACACATGGTGGCTGCCAACAATTTAGCCTACTGTACCAAGCTCCTCTCATCTACATCATCAGTTAACTTTGATCAAACATTGGTGAATCAGACACAAATCTAATAATGTTGTGTGCTTCCAAGTTTAGATATTTCCAATTTCTGAAAATTTAACAGACTTTTCATTTCATCTGAAGGGACTGGATACACCTCACTCTGACCTCCCTAAAAATATACTGGTCAAAACAACAGAGATATTATTTATACACAATTGCTCTGGTTTTTTTTTATTTGCAAATTTTCATGGACAAAAGCAGTGATAATTCCCTTGTAAAAATATTTGGTAAGCTATAATTCATAGAATGTTAACTTTGGCTCATAAAATAATTCAAGGCAGGGCACATAAATGAAATTCCAAGATATATAAACAAGACTCCATGGCTCTATTAAAAGGTAATGCCATGGCTTCTTTTCAAGATATCCAGTCACATACACTGTACATGAATTTCAGAAAACAAATATTATTATTATTATATACAAGCTTGGTTTTTTTTTAAATTTTTTTTTTTTAACAATAGTTTAGGTGATTTTTTTTATTTGCAAATTTTCATGGACAAAAGCAGTGATAATTCCCTTGTAAAAATATTTGGTAAGCTATAATTCATAGAATGTTAACTTTGGCTCATAAAATAATTCAAGGCAGGGCACATAAATGAAATTCCAAGATATATAAACAAGACTCCATGGCTCTATTAAAAGGTAATGCCATAACCACCTATACCTTTATAACTGCAATTATGTTTATTCATAACCAAATTAAATTAAAATAAGTAAAAACCTGTACTAAAAACAATACTCTATGAGTACCGTCCAAGTTAAGTCTGTAAAATAATGTAATAATAATAAATGTACATGGTATAAAATTATAGCTGAAAAGTACTTGAGATATGTCCATATATGAATGTGATGTGGCATCATTATGCCCATATATAGGCAAGTTAGATACCTGTCATATAAACTTGCTTAGTGTTTATGACTTTCAATGTTCCAAAGCCGATTACTAACTGTGCCCGACGCGATTCTATGAAGAATGCAATGCGACGACGGGTGCACAACGGATAATTTTTACGATGATCCAGACTGCCACCGATAATCAGCAGATGGCGTCACCTAGCGCTCAAAGGGAGCGAAGTTGAATTCGTCATGCGATGGTTGTACAATGCAGTAAGTGCCCGGCTTAACTCACGTAAATAACATACAGTGTACATACAGTGTACTCCTATACTCTACATTTTTCAATGTCTACATTATTTTTTACTATACTTCATTAGTACAGTATTCTTTCTGGAATTCATGTAACTTTTACTTATAGTGTACATGAAATAATTAAATATGTAGCCCTCTTTAAAATGTCATAGCATTTTATTCCTTCCATGATAGTGAACATGCTCATGAAAACCCTTTGTCATTATAAATACTTCTATTTTGTTCAATGGCATATCTAAGGTACCAGGGGCGGCACCACCAGCGAGGGGGCAGGGGGCTTAAGGCCCCCCATCGGTCTGGTCAAGCCCCCCCCATCGGCCAAATCTCGTCGGGCAGTCGGATCAAAATAAAAAATAGGCCTAGTTTTCCCATCCCAGCCATTTCCTGCCATCTAGAAATCTCAATTTTTTTTTTTAAATCTTGTTTTTGGAGGAGGGGACACCCCCCTTCCCATACCCACCGGCTTGGCCTTTAGTTAGTTACACCCACAAATACTTAGCCCCCCCTTGTCGGACATCTTAGAGCCGCCACTGCCCCTTCACTTTCTAATCCTGTAGATATGTCACTAATTTCATTGTACCTAATCAGTTAATCATTGTCGTCTACTAGGTATGCCAGGATACTTAATAAAAATTAGCATTAACTATACAAGCAAAAGAAAACACAAAAATTAGATTAAATTAATAGACACATTATAACTATTGCATTACTTCTTCAATGATATAATGAAGAAATAAATAAGATGTTTCCATCCTGGTCTTGCATTTGTAGCTGCAACGAGGACTCTAAAATTTGTTCAGTTTTTGGTTTTTTTTCATCATTTTTTAATTTTCCATTGAGTTCATAGTCTTTGTGCTGCCTTTTTTCACTTTCTCATATCTTTCTAATTTTGGGAGGGTTTTTTTCTATATGTTATCTCAGTGCTTATGTAAAGATCTACACAAAATCCTTTTAAAGTTTAGAGTCTGAATGGACAGTCTGGACTTGCAGAGCACTTGATGTTCAATATTTAAGCTTCTGGTTCATTGTCATGATCTCCATTGAGACATCTTCTAGCAGTCTCATGAATTTTGTCCACGTCATCATCTTCAATGTTTACCTCAGGGTCGTTAGCTTGTGCGTCATCGTTTTGAAACTCCCGATAACGATCATTTGAACTTACAACCCCGGTTTTCTTTAAACTGTACAGAACAATTCCCAAGACAATCGTAACGAAGGACAAGAAGTACAAGAATGAGAACTGTGGGGAAAAAAAGAAAGAAAATTATATTTAATAGAATATGGATATTAAGATTTATGCTTCCTGCTAACCTGCAAAACATTTGAGCTGCAGACATCCAAGCATTATTAGTGGTCTAAAGCTTCAGAAACAAGAGTGCTAAGATGTTCATTTTTTTTGGTAAAAATCCCATGTTTTTTAGGTATAGACAATCTTTCCTAAAACTTGTTGGGAAATTTGAGCATAAAAATCATCATGATCTTGGTTTGTCAATTTCAATTTGATTTTAGTGTATTTTTATATTTTTTATAAATGTGAATAATATAATTATAATCTTTGTTTATAGTCTTGTTTATCAAATTGTACATAATAATAATAATAATAATTATAAAATAACACTGTATTAATTAAGTTTTGTAAATCATTGTATTTTTTAATGGTTTAATTTCAATTATCTATTACCTATTGTAACATTTAAGATTCTATTTTTGTAAGACTTTTAGATATTAGGTAGTTTAGTCATTGTCTTGATCATTTTGGAAAGGCGCTATATAAATCATCATTATTATTATTATTATAATTTTTAATCAAATTTAAAGATATTCGATTTATGATATGATACAAATACAATGTATATTTTAAGATTATTAATCACTTACAGTGTAATGAAAAACAAAAAGTCCAATAAGAAGACTGTAGATGTCTGCTGTGAGAATTGAGAGGTTGACGGCCATTGCACTGCTCAGGCGTATTATAGTAGGCATTAAGGAGTATAAACTGAACAGGCATATTGCAAATCCCAGCAGTAGTAGAATGGCTTGCCAACTCCACTCATATTTAATCAGCTCTTCACGTTCAAATATGATCCTGAAAAATAAAAAAGAAGTAAAATCATTTATGCTATTAAGCCTGAATTTTTCATTTTGAGTGTAGGGGCAAGAATAATTACTAATAATGAATAGTATTATCAATAATATATTATCATTGATATCATTATCATAACACATCATTCAAATATTAATAATTAATTTCATTTCATCTTTAATTTCAGAAAATAAATACATATGGTGAAATATTCTCCATAGCTTAAAGTCAATTATGTAGGGTATAAACAACAGTATATCATTACATTAATAACTTCATCCATCTACAGTAAAGAGTAGATGATGGAAGAGCAAATTTGTATACTTGTTACTAGCTTGTTACTATGACAGGAATTGATTCATCATCATCATCATCATCATCATTAATAAATTAGTAGAGTTGCTAATGTTTAAAACCTCGTGGTAGTGGACCTTTTCGCTAAGCCACGCCTCCTGGATATGGCTGCCATGGTCCCACAAAACAACAGTGTAAAAACATATGCGTTTGTGTTAATATGTTTGTTGGATACGTGCGTTTCCCAGCTCTGTTCTGATTGGTCGGTTGTTAAGTTTGATTGACACTCCAGAAAGGTTTACTGATACCCTGAGATTGAAAACTAAGCTGCAAGATACAACTTACAGTTGGATACCGCATATGAAGCTGCCAAATAAGCCAACGAGTCCTAGGAACTCTGTCCGCGTGTAGAAACGCACCGCATACTCCTCTGCTATGTTTGATACACCATACAAAGAAGCACCCACAATGCACAACATATCACCTAGCAACTTATCACTGGCACCTACAACAGGAGAATTTTTAAAATCTTATTGTGATGGCCATGAAAATATTTATAATACTGTATAAGTTTAAAGACTTACTTCATTAGTACAGAGAACCACTAAACCTAGGATATATCATATCATATGCATCACAAAATAATATCACAATATTTGTAGCAATACAGATTCAAGAACATTTATTTAAATTTAATTAGTTACCAAATATCATCAAAGTTTATATGCAGCTCTTAGCAAGTGTCCAAGATTTGGTGAGGTGACATATTGATATGGAAATAGCCAGTAAGCGTAGCATGACTAATCAATTGTATTTGAGTTTTATTTTGACTGAAGACTTTTTAACTACATGAAACTTCACTACTATATATATTCTACTATTTGGTAGGCCATATAATTATTGGTAAACATAGCTTGCTACTGTTTAGTCAAAATAAACAAGATAGTGGAATTGATAGAGGGTCACAAATAAATTTATATAATACTGTACCACCACTGTGCGACCTTCCAGTCCGAAGGTCAGCCCAAATCATTAAGGGCACGCCAATCAAACATACAACCACACCAACAACGTGGTTGCCGAAAAACTTGGTCTTTAAAATGACGAACGACAAGAGAAGAACAACTGGTATTGTAATGCAATCCAACAGCTAAATAAAAAATATTAAATAAATATTAACATAAATATTTCACACTGGTCAGACCTCATTAACATATTAGATTATCTTATTATTACCTCAACCAATTTGTAAATGTGATGAATGAGAAAGGCTTTCTTTATTCAAGCTATTGGCAATGTACAAAATAGTAAATTTGCTTTGCACATGTATATATGGTCAAATAGTGACAACCACTTACAAGTATTATAGTCAGAAACAAGTTATTTATTTAGACTTTACCTATATTTTACTTTATCTATACTAAATGGCTTAAAAATGGAAAAAATAAAGTAATTTAAAAACACACCCAAATTCATATTTTAGGCAGGAGGGGTGGGGGAAGTCTTATATTGCATTAAAGAAACTTAGCTTTCAAATGAAATACTGTAAGATTGAGAAAAAAACATTGAAAATAAATACTTTTCTTGGCATTTACAATAATTGAAATATTAGTCTCTTAACATGGATGGAAATAAAGTTAAAGTGCCGTATATTCTCGCGCATACCGTAAGTTTCAGAAGGCTTTTGGACGATTTTTTTATGTTGTGCATATAAGACGACCCCCCTGTTCCACCGTCTAAATTCCATTTTAGCCTTCAGATCGTCATATTTTATAATTCCAAGGCCTAGACTTGGTATTGTTCATGGATTTTATTGTATCATCAATGAAAGCATTAATAAATGAACTTTGTCAACAAATCTAATTTTGTTTTGCAGCAAATGGTGACACCCATTGTAAGGTAACTCCTGGGAGAATGTAGAAACATGCAGATATCATGAATTTGCGGAAGATGTGTTCCGGGAAATTTATACTTGGTCGGGAGACTTGGGCCCCCTTTATAACTAAATTTATAACGTGTGGTCTTATACCTGTACACTGGTCAAGGTAGTATATTGATATGCCTTCACTACAAAATAGTTAGCTTCCACATCGACTAAGGCAACCAGCAAATACTTCCACCAACGCTGACGACATATGTTATAGAAATTGTTATCTCCTTGTCGATAGCAAAGCTGGGTGCAGTACACCGCAGTAAGCAACACGTAGTTGAGAAAACTCTGAGCAGTTGGTGCATTTATTCCGTGCTCAGAATTCAGAAGCTGACTTGTGATGGCAGTCCCGCAAATAAGTAGAGATAATATCTGACCTCCAACCAGCAATTTCAGAAAATCTCTAGAAAACATAAAAACAAACATACTAAATATTGATAATGAATCTTGATTTAAAAAAGGATGTATAATAGTTCCAACAATTTTACTTACTACCCAGACTGTAAAGTAAGGCCTGCATGGAGTATATATCCTCCGCGCAATAATTAGGTCTAAAAACCCGTCTAATTTTCAAAATTAAGAGCCGATTTCAGACTTTTCAACCCCTACTGTAGACCTTAAAAATCTGCATTGGCAGTTGAAGGGCGCCCCCATTACTGGCATTTAGTGAAATGCACCGTCAACGTCAAAATATTCTGATAGCCTTAATGTCTTTCGAGGTTTATAAATGTTTATAATTGGGTTTTCCATTCATATGACATCTATTTTACCGTGCGAGTCCAATGGTTTTTTTTAGGGCCGTAAAAGTTAGGGCATATAGAAATAATTGTTAGATTATCACACTCCTGCCTGCGTAAAAAATTTGGGAAATATTGATGCGGGAATGAAAACAATAATTTTTACCACATAATTTATTTCAACAGCATAAAAAAACTGCTGAGCTGGAAATAAATTTTCTTTAAAAAAATAATAAAATAATAAACTAGTTTTTATACAATATTTACAATATTCTTGTCAAATAAAACATTCCCACCTCATCTATAAAAAAAAAGCAATATTCTTATTGTTCAATAAAAAAAAAAAAAAACAAAAAAAAAAAACTGCCCACCCTCCACTTCTTTTTTTTTTTTTAAAAAGAGTTATAAATCTAATATTAATAATTTTTTCTATGTTCCCTTAAATGAGGTGGTTTTACTGTAAATACAACAAATTTGAGCTGTGCGGTTTTTGAGGTATCATCCACGGAATTAAAATACTTTATAGTATGGCTTACTATTAAACTAAACTTTCTTGAATCTAAAATTAAAATGTAAATTAAGACAAGAAGTATTAACTACTGTATTATCCTAACATGTATATGTAAATTATGCCTTTCTGTGGCTCTACCAATCAAAATAACGTATGCAAATTACTTACTGTAATGTAATTGAATTCATTATTTGCCTACCTGGTAAATACAACTTGTAATTTTGCCTTTGCAACTTCAACACACGAATGGCAACCCATCTTGAAATATAATAAAATAAATATGTACACCACAAAAATTAACAATAAACAACTATAACTCTGCTACTATTTTGTCCAGTGTCGTCCTTATATGTCAAGACAGGACAAATACCAGCGACCGAGTGCGTGTGAGCCACACACAACAGGCACGGTGCTGCTCTGACTGGCTGAGAACGTGTTGCTGACTTATTGTGCTGCTAAACGTAAGTAAGTTACGTTCCGTGGACTCACTGTATTTCTTGAATGAATTATCCAATTATCTTCAATAACTTCTGAAAATTAAAAAACTTCACTTTAAGATGTCATTAATAATTTTCTTAGATTCATTAAATCAGACATATTTTCAAGCCTACATCAAGCTAGGCCTAGCTAGCAAGCAGCGCACATGTACAATGTGGTGACGTAATATTGTGAGATACGTACTGAAATAGAATGAGCCACTTTAATACAATGATGGCCATTGGACAAACTGCTAAAATGAGAGGAATTTAAACCAATCACCGGGTGCGTAAATATTTTCTTTCGTAGTCGCTTCACAATGTAAAGAATAAACAACGGTCCATAATAGAATTAAAGATGTAACAAAAATACTGTGTTGTTTGTGTCCTTAGATATATCAAACCACAATTTAATTAAGTTAAATAAAATTAAAAATTATAATTGTACAGTATATTGTAATAAATCTAAAACATAAGCGAAAATAGAAAACAGTCTGCTAAAAATCATGCGGTCTAAGGTCTCACTTCATAAATTACAATTTAAAACCCTTCCTGTGGGTCAAAGTTCATGTTTATAACTTGTGAGTAAAAAACGAAGGAAAACACCTTCAATCAAGTCGTTTATTAATTTGTGTATTAATTGCATTTATTGTAAGTTAATTTATTAGGTTTAGAATAAGTGCCTAGAATGAACGATATGGGAGGCGATCAACTGGCAGGTTTGCCGCCAGAAGTTATATGGGAATACCAATTTCGGATGATATTGGTTGGAGATTCGACAGTAGGGAAATCGTGTTTGTTGAGACGATTTTGTGATGGTAAATTTTTCGAGACATCCGACCCTACAGTTGGTGTCGACTTTTATGCAAGACTTATAGAAGTTGCACCTGGAAGAAGGGTTAAACTTCAGTTATGGGATACAGCTGGTCAAGAACGGTTTAGGTGAGACTTTATTAATTTTGTTTTAAATGAACCCGACGAGTTTTCTAGCCTTAGGCTACCACCTCCTCCTAACCTTCCTAGCTGGGGAAGCGCCATTGGAGGATAGCCGTTTAGGAAGGAGGTTATCTGTGCCTAAAGGAAGTGATCAATTAAGTGTTTAACAGACTTCCTAATGAGAATACGAACGTATAATGTCTTTTAATAAAATTGTGCTAATGGGTCCTGGTCCTTTTGAATACTGCATCAGATTCAAATGGTTGCTTTTTTTATTCAGTTTGATTTTTATTAAATTTTATATGTTTTAGTGCAGGTATTTTATCAGTAAATGTTACCTCTAATTTAAATTACTGTATTTTGATTGTTTTTATGATGTGGGTTTTCCTATTTGTGAAGCAAGTTAATAATAATAGATGTTAAAAATTTTAATATTAATATAATGACTAAAATACAAATTTTACATACTTTTTTTCAGATCTATAACAACATCTTATTATCGAAACTCTGTTGGGGTATTGCTAGTGTTTGACATTTCTAATCGCAAAAGTTTTGAGCATCTACAAGAATGGTTCCTGGAAGCCCAAGAAAATGTAGTTTATCCACGAAGTGTGGTGTACATGGTAATTGGCCATAAAAGTGATTTGAAAGATTTACGACAAGTTGCAGTAGAAGAGGGCGAGAAGTTTGCCAAAGCATACGGAATGAAGTACATAGAAACATCCGCAAAAGCATGCATCAATGTAGAGGCCGCATTCTCAGTAATGGCCAAGGAAATTTACGTCAAACTTCAGGAAGGAGAAGTAAAGATGCACGAGGGATGGGATGGCATCAAAGGTGGATTCTCAACACCACGAGAAACTCTTCGGCTAGAGGAACCAACACAAAGGCAAAGAATATGTTGTGGATGAGGAAGAAATTTGAATATTTCAGTTTTACTGGTTTGCATGTAAATTGTCTGTATTTATGAAATTGTGATGGATGTTCTGAACACTAGAAGGCACAACTGCTTGACCTGTGACCCAATGGGTGACATTCCCCAGGAAGTACTAAATTCTGCTCATAATTACTGTACAAGGTTGGAAAATCGATTCATTTGAGTGAGCACAATTGTATAAATTTAAAATGACCATATTTGGTAAGAGCCTGCAGTACTGCAGATTTTCTAGATAATAAATTAAATGATCAAGTGACTTATTGTTTCTGATGACAACTCCAAAATAATGAATGGATTAAACATATTTTTTAATTAATAATTATGCATTAATTGATATTTAACATTTAAATCATTGATAGTGATTAGTATACCTTTAAAAATTATGTAATTTTTCCCTCCTAAAATTAAATATTATACATAACACATTGTGTATGTGGCAAAAAAACCCATGCATATTTGATGTAAACATTTAATTATGGGGTGTAATTTTATATCAGTATCTTAAAAAGTATTTGAATGAATTGGCTTTGGAATATTTAATTTAAGCTATTTATTTAGGCTTGCATTGTGGCGAGAATGCGAAGTTATTCATTTTAAAGATACTGGAGGGTTGGCTGCCATTAGTTTTAATAATAAGAAAAGGTGGTAAGTGTTTAAGAATGGTGTAAACAAAATTGAATGATTCCTCTTGGTATGATTCCTCTTGGTACAGTAATACCATGTTTTGACTTGTCATGTAGCAATAAACTGTATACCTTGTTGCATGCCCTGTGGACTGATCTTCACAACTCTCTTTTTATTTTCCCCCATTCTGTACTGTATAAAATAGATTTGCAATACAAATTTATTTATTTTATTTTTTTGCTATTTCTCCTATATGTTCAATCGTTTATCTCTTGAACTAAATAGAATCCTATTACTAAATATTTTAATGTCTGTATAAATTAAGGTATGTTAGATTCTTCAGTCGCTAGTAGGGGAAAATCAAAAATAAAAAAAAACTGATGCCAATGGAGAATTGGATAAAAAAAATATATATAATAAAGTATTTGAGATTATTATTAATTATTAGGCCTAATATTCTTAAGTAATTATTAGATGTTATTTACGTGAATCTGAGATAAAAAAAGTACTAGTAGGTAGTACAATCAGTTTGGGCTCTAGAGGATATGAAAGGGGGAAGGCGAAGCTGTCACACTCGGGGGTCTTACAATTTCCAATGGGGAACTGGACTCAGCAGGGCCCCGTCAGGTAAAAGGGAAAGCCTATTGGGAGGTACGGGGACTGCTCATTGAATTACCAAATATGGTTGATTAGTCGACAGGGGTTTGGTCAGAGCATTAATAGGGCTTAAGTCACCTAACCCCTGCTAGTGCCACCAATATGTAAATTGTCCAGGATAAACAGTCATTCCCTAGTGGTGACACTTAGGTTTTACCTTAAATTTTAAATGTATGATAATTAAAAATTATTGAATCTACTTGAGTCTTTTCAGACTTTAATGGCAATATATTTTGTTTGAATTGCTTTGTTTACTGCTAAAAGTTCTAAGTACTGTAAGTGATACATTATTATTTAAGCATGCATGCTTCTGGTAGAAGTTAACGTCTTGTTAAATGACCTATTCAAAATTTTAATTGAATTGTTGAGATTTTATTTGATTTTGTTTAGTACTAGTAGACAGTACATTTTCAATTGAAATTTTAGTTTATGTTCTATGAACTTTACACACCATTATTAAATATGTATATTCATGTAAATTTCTTATAAATATTATATGCTTTTTTAAATTTATAATTTTTAGTTATTGAGTTATGTATGTTTTTAGGCCATGTAAAAAAAATTTTTTTTTTTTTTGTCGCTTAAGTTGAAATAGTTTTTTGCAGTGCAATTGCATACTGTCAGTTGCATATCTAGGGGTCACTAGGAGTGCATGCCTCTCCCTACCCCCAAAAAAGGTTGCACCCCTTTTCCCCCAATGAAAATATCTGAAGCAAAGAAAGCACTCAATTCTTACACCTACACCTTTTTTTCCCACCTAGTTCCCTCTCATTTAATCATCAAGCCTCATCAAGGGACCCCCCCCCCCATTTCAAGACTCGTAGATATGCCACTGCACAGGATATACAGATACCATGGTAGCAGTTATGCTATATCTACCTTGGTAAATGTACTGTAGATTAGATTTTGTGTTAACAGCATTATTGATTTTGAGAAACAAGGAGGAACTATATATTTTTTTTACCTGGCCTTAGATTTTTAGTTTATTATTACTGCATGTTATAAATTAAAATAAATGAATCGCTTGAATTCTGCTGTTTGCTTCTATCATAAATATATAATTCATTTGATTTTTGTAAGAAAAAAAAAACTATGATTTTGCTTTAATTTAAGTATTTAAAGAACATTTATTTATATTATGTTAAAATCATGATAAAAATCTTACCTCATTGCTTTGTGCTAAACTTCCAGTTTTAAACATTTCATTTGGTGTGGAGTTAACTTTTGCCAAACTGACTGGTAATACAGTATACCAACTCAAAAATATTAACACATTTTTAAAATCTAGAAAATTCAGATTCAGTTCTAAAGAATTTCTGAGATCCCATTCAAGTTAGCATTGCTGTAATAGGGTTACCGGTACTTTTGTGATAAACATACATGTTAAATGAATAAATAATAGTTAATTGTATTCATTTAATTGGTATCATTCAAATACTTCTATAGGTAAAATGTTACAGATGACACCAGTAGTCAAGTAATTAAATCTAAATTTGTTTTCATGTATAATTGAATTGTTGGTTGTAGACAAAAATTATCCAGAATTTGTTAAGTATTGTCAAGTATATATTGACTATCTAAAATTGTATTCAATTCTAAAATTTTTCTTACAAGTTTACCAAACATGGGTTTGTGCATTGGCTGGGTAAAAGGTGACTTCTAAATTTTATTATTTTGAATATTCATTGTACCTGTGCCTATATATTGCACAAAAGATGTTCTTCCAGCTTAAAAGCTTTATATTTAACCATTTATAGAATACAGATGATTGGATCTCCCTAAAATTTCATATTTGAGTATTTGTATACCCAGTGGCAGATTAAAAATGGAGGTGGGGGAGGGTGGGGGAAAGGCAGCTAGCTCCCCTAATTTTTTTTAGAATTATTAAAAAGAAAATTATACTTCATATTTATGTCTGGGAGTGCCATCTAGAGGTGCCGTAATCATAGAATTTCTGACCTCAACCATGGTACAGCTGAAAGTCCTTGAGCATGGGGCTGAGGTGGTCTAGATCTTCCTACCTTTATTTCAATTTCCTAGTACAGTGACAAATATTCCAGTTAAGAAAACAATGACCAATTCATTAAATTCACGGAAAAATGGATAAATATATTTAAAAACAAACTAATGAAATAAAAAACAACTACAGTGTGTTTGAATACTTGATTATAGCATCCATGTGTCCCGACCCTGGGGGAATCTTCAACATAGTGTACATTCCTATATTGTTTAATGCTATTCTGTAATCAGTAACGTATCTAAGGGTGCACGTTGGGGCTGTCTCTTATACACATCTAGATGTGTATAAGAGACAGATGCCACTGTTTACAATATGGCAGATCAGCTCATTTTGGCATTTGGTTTAACATCATATGATATTAATGGACATATCTATTATATTAATGAAAATTATGATTTTAACAAATCTATGTATTGCTATGAATCTTCCTTTGAAAATTACCAAATATTACATAAATAAATATTTTGTAAAATAGCATAATGTGATGTAGTGTTTTGCTTTGCAATATAGTGAATATGACAAATATAATACTATGTGTTTTCTTGGTCTCTTATTCTATTTATGCCATGAATTCTAATGATTATCAAATTTATGAAACTGCTATGTAATCTTTGTTTATATAAATGTAAGAAATACAAGGTGTATGGTATATGTTCCCACAATGAATCTGCTTTTAAACCAGATTTTTTTGTGGAAAGTTTTAGAGTTTTTCTAGTCATGTTCAGTATGAGAATGTACTGTATTGAAAAGTGTGTGTTGTACAGTACCCCAATCAATGCTGCTTTTTGTTTAATAACCCTCAATATTGAAAGGAAAATGCATATAGATATATTAAGGTAGTTTTATAAACTACAGTACATGAAAATGCATTTTGTTGTTGATATTTTAAGTATAACTGGAATATATTTGATATTCAAGAATAAGACGTACTGTATTTCATGTAGTGTTTTAGGAGCAATGTTTGGACAAATACAGCTACTCTATTTTACTATAGCTTGACAATTAATGGATGTACAGTATGTGGATAAATAAATGTCTTCAGGAACTGGAAAAACAGATCCGTGTGTACGTGTTTTTTTTATAGCAGTGTTGTTTTGCCCTACCTGACGTGTTATCGTACTGAATACTCAGTCCATTCCCAAAAAAATTGTAAGCGATTTGGGTGGGAATGGAACCCACGACCTCCTGATGGCTAGTTTGGAGTCATAACCACTAGACATCAAGCATGTGCTCCTCGTCTGATCACCAAGTAATAGCGTGTACTGCAAATGCTATTTCAATTTGCGTTTGCATCGCCCACCAACACATCCCTTCCAAAAAAACCCTGCAAAAAACATTAATCAATCCATCTCATTTGTTGAGTCGGCAAAATATCCATTTAATACATCAACACCAAATTTTCATCGCTCGTATTTATTTTGTTTTATTTTAAATAAGACCTCTGTTTTAATGGATGGCTACCACTATAGTCGTATATATCTTGGCCAAGTCCAGGTATTGGTGGGGAGGTGGAAGGGGACTAAACAGAAGTATTTGGCTTGAGGTCTAAATTTTGGGTGTGTGTGTTTGCATGCAGTCCATGCATTCCAAGTCTCAGGTGAAGCCCATGACCCTTCTGGAAGTCAGCAGACTCCCGCACACCTGCCAAGCAAGCAAATGTTTCCCTGAAGATAACCCATGCCTCAAAACATTTGCATATTTTTACTTATGTACAGTACTATTAACTCTCTCCCTCAAGTTAGCAGGCCATTGGTGTCATAATATTCAGAGTGCTGAAGCTCATTAAATCGGATCTGCTAAGTTGCTTCTTCCATCTTGAGACCCCTGGTAGTCTTATAACATACTATTTTACTTGTATGAGAGAGAGGGCATGGAGTCATGCCATAACAAGTTCAACTGTCAACACTTAAAAGGATTTCAATATCTGCAGGTACCCTCTAATGTTTCCAAATTATTGAACAACTGTATTTATAGTGCCAAATACAAATCTAAGACGCTTGCCTACCCAGAAACTTCCATTCATCTTGAAATAAGTGTTGTTTTCAGCTTGTTTTTGAAAATATTGATCAATTCTGCTTGCTATTTTCTGGAAGATGATTCCAATATTTGTGAGTTTTCACTACAAAATGAGTCTCATCGTTAGAAAACCAAAAATGAGTTAATATTACATTTTGATATATCACATTATAAGCTTTAATTTGGTCTTTGAATGGCTTCCCTAGGATAAATAGATCCAGAGATGTTAGCATTTAAAGTTTAGGTGTATGAGAACCAGGTTTTGAGAAAAACAGCCTCAAAGATAAATTAACCTGTACAAATAATAGGACTAGAATTACAGAATATGCGAAGAGAACACTGTTTAAGTAAGAAAATTCACTTAAAAAGTACACAATCATAAAATATAAGTATCAAGTTGTTCAAATACATTACAATCAAAATTTTGTATAAATGTTGCCTTTGACCTATTTTGGTGAATATATGATTTCACCAATTATGCGTCTCATTTCGTGGTGAGACCTCACATTTTTGATGTACTGAATTTATGCGCAATATATTCTCCCCATCACATTCTTAACAATCTTATTTCATAACATCCAAAAATCAACTCCAATTAATAATTTGTTTATGACCGTAATTGTTTTTATTTACTGTAGCTGAAATACATCAAATGAACCAACTAAAGATACCTATCTTATCCTAAAAAAATATTCAGCAGAGAATTAGAATTTTTTACATTTGAAAAACTAATGTACCAGTTATTTGGCAGAACATTCTTTATGAAAAACAAAATATGTGGATTAACTATTTGTTTATTATTTACAAAGAAATTTAAGTATTTTCTGCTAAAGGAAGATGGATGATCAACTATTTGGAAGCAAATAGAGAACGTTGTGGTTATCATAAATATATAAATATATGTAGTAGATATAACTCTCATAAAATTTTATTCAATACAGTATATTGCATTATTATTACATTCTATATAATACCACACCCTCATTTTCAACATTGTTATTAAAAAGATATAATTATCAATTAGTTCATATTATATAGTATTCTCATCAAATCATAATAATTATTACGCCATCCTTCAAAATCCATAATACATCAAGATCCTTTTACAGTATAAAATGAAAATGTCATGCCAAAATGAGTTTTGTAGTACAAAAGTGAAATATGAGCTATTGATATACTGTATTTAGATAGATGACTAAAACCTTTATTTTGGTCTTTGAATTAGGTTCCTAAGTCAAGTACAATTGAAATAAGATCATTTTCAAATTCAGATGTCTGAAAAAGAACTTAAATTAATGTAACGCAAGTCAAAACATTTGTTATCATAAAATATGCATATTAAACTTCACAAAAACAATGAACCTAATTTTCATCAAATTTCACTTAAGATATGGTACATTTTCTTGAATGTATCAAATTGGCCTGGCATAGGCGGATCCATGAGGTAGGCCCAGCCGGCCAGGGGCCCCCTAAAATTTGTCTAAAATCAGTGCCATTTCCGGCGATCTAGAGGTGCCCGAGGTGCTGTAGCGTAAATTCTATGTGTATTAAATCGACCAATCAAATGACGAGGATCTAATTAAGTGTTTTATAAAATACATTTACTACTGTACAGGTTCATCTGCTACTTGAATTGATTTTCATGACATTAAGAAACTCACTACACCAAACGATGAGGTCTTCAGCAGCATCAACCAAAGGTAGCCCATCATTCTATGTACAAAATAAAAGGGAAAAAATGAGTAAGTAAACCTGGGACTAGTTGAGTAACTACAGCATAATACAACATGATGGCTTTGCCCCTGGTGACCTGTGGCAATGTGGTACCACCCACAATGGTTAATTTAGCAGTACATTTAGCATATTGCTGTTTTTCACAGTGTTTTGTGATTTTGAATGCCAGGCGCATAATGTATCAAGGCATCATCAATCACTTAGAGAAAGCAGAGATGATTTGGCCAATGGTCATATACAGTGTGTGCCCAGTTCAGGGGTTTAGCCAGAAAACGAAATAAGCCATCCAAAATGGAAGCCAGTGGGCGTGGCACTGAGCAGATGGGCGGGCCACAGCCATCTTTGGGAATCCCCACCGAATATTGGTACGAAAACAACGTACATTCAATCAATAAATATTGTTTTTATCAAACGTAAATATTATTTAGCTTTAGTTCAATGCAACATTTGATAGATTTGAAGAATATAAAGAATTTGCTAAAGGTAGACCAGGCCCAATTAGGCTAGGCCAAGCTGATTAGGCCAAGCCGTCTAAGCCATCACAGTAAAAGTGGCCGTCCTAAATAATTGTAGGCCGTCAAAAAGACGGTCTGTCGGTTCACTGGCTAAGCCTATGGCCCAGTTTAACATGAACATGGACCGTTTTTGTAAATAGGACCAACCCTGTTTCTTCCAAATGGAATATAGTTAAACTTGTCAAAGTCGACTTTGCCTAACTCGAGTAAGCCTAACTCGAATAATTTCTAATTCTATCGTATTTTACATGCCAAATTGTTATGTTTTAAGTTAATTAATGAATTGTAAGTTGTATTTTATCTAAGTCAAACAATTTTTCAATGCCATTTTGGATTAGACTTGGGCAAGTTCAACTCTATGTCCAAAGCATAAAACATAGTTTGTTGGGCGCTTAAGAGAACCACTTTTTAAAAATAATTTACGGTACTCCAATGACATAAGCAATATAAAATGCATAAAGTATATAGTATTATTTGTTATATAAGATTAACATATTGTTTTTAGTATTTTATCCATTTATGCCTTAGAAAGTCACAGATAATTGGCAATATCTAAAATATAATTAAACTACAGAGTACATTATTTCACAATTATATCCACAATTCAAAAATTAAAAAATGTAATAAGCTGGAATGATAGAATGAATCTCTATTATATTTGAATGAATGAACTGAATAAAAGGCATTTGAATTATTCAGATATTTTATATTAAATTAGGATGATTAAAATCTCATAATTACCTTATCAGAATTAGGCCTGTTTATTTGTGTAAAATTGGATTCACATTGGACAGCTGTGCACTCATTGGTTGGTTCTATCACACAGCTTGTGGTTGAATTGTCAACAGGTAAACCTTGTGTTTCAGAGTCACTTTCATCTGCTGAACATCCAATTTTCTTCCCATCAGGCACCTGGCTATTGTTGTTTTCATTTATGGGATTAATCTTTATCTTTTTAGATGGTTGCATCACACAAATTTCAGTATCATTTTCATCATAGAATGTCATATCTGAATCCTCAGAGTTCAAAGGCTGTTTTCGTTTTCCATGCATGGAAGAATCTTGTGGATTCTTGTCGTCATTTGTGTCCGTTCTTCTTAGTTCTTGAGAAAGGTGCTGAATGGCTTTGACAGAGTCATTTTCCTGACGCATATCTCCTCCATATGCAACCACTGCAACTATTTCAAATGTTCTAGAAAGATCACCTTTCGATATCGTTATTGCACGCTGCTCCCCGGTCAACATCACACTATCCTCTATCCATCCCAAGCTGGTCAATGATGAATACTGCCCTCTTGTGTTTGTAAAACTTTTTTTGATCTGTTCTTGATATTCTTCAAAGGAATCATCAACGTCCGATGAATTTTGAGGTTGGATACTTGGAATACTAGGAAACATTAAATCCGGTGGCTCACTGTCAAGCGAAATAGTTGTGTCTGATGAATCAGACATACTCGTATCTGTAATCACGTAAAAGTAAGTATAACAAATTTATGATGCAGTTATGTTTAGCAACTGGAATTCAAATGAGAAATGCAATTGAGACAGATAGCACAATACATTGAGATACAGATTAGGATCATAACATTTGGCTTTAGAAAATCAGAAAAAGTATTGTATGAAATGGCATTGGTGCAAAGAAGTAATATGGAGCGCCATTGGTGCCAAAATTAATTATTTTAATTTTTTTTCACTAAGACAAATTTAGGTACTGGAATCGGGTCTACTTTGAATACAGCATATATATCACATTACAATAGTACTCTGAAGAAAAAGAAAAAATGATGACCTCAATATGACAACAAAATTCATAATACTGTCGTGGACCAGAATATATAATTTTGATATTTCGATATGTGTTTTTACACCTGACCTGTTTTCCTATGTTGTCTTTATTTGTTGATTGTAAACAAACG